GCTCCATCTTCTTTCAGTCCCCCACCACACACATTCAAATCATGCACACTGATCCTGAAATGGGAGGAAACAGAACCTCATGCAGTGGATCTGATGGTTGTGGTGATAGTGGAGATGATATGATACTACTTCAATTAGCAAGTCAAATCTTTGGATAACACCCAAGATTTTTAGCCATGATAGCAGCACGGCTCCAAGGAAAGGTCGGTTTGTGGATGGTGCGCCACTCAGGTTCAGACTGAAATTACAACAACTATCGGATGGATTGAGGTGAAATGTGGTGCAGGCATTCACGGTACCCCAAGGATGAACCCTTATAACTTTCATGATCCCCTGATGTTCCCTTTAGTGCCACAACAAGGCGGAAATGTTGAGTTTGGTATCAATATCTCAAGAACTACTAGATGAATTGCTGCTGATGAGAATGTTTATCCCAAAACCCAAAGTGATGTTTTTCTAATGATTTAACATATTTTTACAATTTCAAATATTTGTATTTTACTGATCAAAATAAAGCAAAAGCAGCTATTCCTCATATTTAAGAAAAGGTCAATCCATTAACAACTAGATGAATTTTCAAGACATTTTGTTAAAACTTTCATAATTTTGAAATGTGGAATCATACTGACTTTGGTGAACCTTTGTCAGTTAATTTTTACATTTTAAATTGTTATTTACATTCCTTTACTTTGGTGTATGACAAGATTCATGAACTCCTATTGTATTGGCCTTTGCTGTATGTTGTGTTTCCTGCTAATTAGCATGCTAACAAAACTAAACCTTGCATGAGAATAAATGAATAACCTACACTGAATAAAAATATAAATGCAACACTTTTGTTTTTGCTCCCATTTTTCATGAGATGAACTCAAAGATCTAAAACATTTTCTATCTACACAAAATAACCATTTCTCTCAAATATTGTTCACAAATCTGAAAAAATCTGTGATAGTGAGCACTTCTCCTTTGCCGAGATAATCCATCCCACCTCACAGGTGTGGCATATCAAGATGCTGATTAGACAGCATGATTATTGCACAGGTGTGCCTTAGGCTGGCCACAATAAAAGGCCACTCTGAAATGTTCAGTTTTATCACACAGCACAATGCCACAGATGTCGCAAGTTTTGAGGGAGCGTGCAATTGGCATGCTGACAGCAGGAATGTCCACCAGAGCTGTTGCCCGTGAATTGAATGTTCATTTCTCTACCATAAGCCGTCTCCAAAGGCGTTTCAGAGAATTTGGCAGTATATCCAACCGGCCTCACAACCGCAGACCACGTGTAACCACACCAGCCCAGGACCTCCACATCCAGCATGTTCACCTCCAAGATCGTCTGAGACCAGCCACTCGGACAGCTGCTGCAATAATCGGTTTGCATAACCAAAGAATTTCTGCACAAACTGTCAGAAACCGTCTCAGGGAAGCTCATCTGCATGCTCGTCGTCCTCATCGGGGTCTCGACCTGACTCCGGTTCGTCCTCGTAGCCGACTTGAGTGGGCAAATGCTCACATTCGATGGCGTCTGGCACGTTGGAGAGGTGTTCTCTTCACGGATGAATCCCGGTTTTCACTGTTCAGGGCAGATGGCAGACAGCGTGTGTGGCGTCGTGTGGGTGAGCGGTTTTCTGATGTCAATGTTGTGAATCGAGTGGCCCATGGTGGTGGTGGGGTTATGGTATGGGCAGGCGTATGTTATGGACGACGAACACAGGTGCATTTTATTGATGGCATTGTGAATGCACAGAGATACCGTGACGAGATCCTGAGGCCCATTGTTGTGCCATTCATCCACGACCATCACCTCATGTTGCAGCATGATAATGCACGGCCCCATGTTGCAAGGATCTGTACACAATTCCTGGAGGCTGAAAACATCCCAGTTCTTGCATGGCCAGCATACTCACCGGACATGTCACCCATTGAGCATGTTTGGGATGCTCTGGATCGGCGTATACGACAGCGTGTTCCAGTTCCTGCCAATATCCAGCAACTTGGCACAGCCATTGAAGAGGAGTGGACCAACATTCCACAGGCCACAATCAACCTGAGCAACTCTATGCGAAGGAGATGTGTTGCACTGCGTGAGGCAAATGGTGGTCACACCAGATACTGACTGGTTTTCGGACCCCCCCCCCCCCCCCCCCCCCAATAAAGCAAAACTGCATGTTTCAGAGTGGCCTTTTATTGTGGCCAGCCTAAGGCACACCTGTGCAATAATCATGCTGTCTAATCAGCATCTTGATATGCCACACCTGTGAGGTGGGATGGATTATCTCGGCAAAGGAGAAGTGCTCACTATCACAGATCTTTTCAGATTTGTGAATAATATTTGAGAGAAATGGTTATTTTGTGTATATAGAAAAATGTTTAGATCTTTGAGTTCATCTCATGAAAAATGGGAGCAAAAACAAAAGTGTTGCATTTATATTTTTGTTCAGTGTATTAGCACTATATTTGTTAGCATGTTAGCAAGCTGATGGTATCTTTTTGCTCAAAGGCTAAGAACTCAGGCTTGTTTTACTCAATTAAACTGTATCTACAGTTAGAATTATTATCAAATGAATGTGGTTATCTAGAGTAAGATACATGTTATATTTGCATTACTGAAAATGCGCTAACACTGATTATTTTAAGCTCTGCGAAACTTTTTCAAGGGGTAAAGTGTTTCTTCCTAGAAAGTTCTGGCCCCTCTGCATCATCCATCTATATAGGTTTCAGGCTCAGTGTGAATCACACACACCACAGCAGCTCTTTAATGTGTTCACCTTCAGTCTGAGAATAGCTCCAGCCCAGTGGAGGCCTGCATTGAGCAGGATGTATAGGACAACTTCTAGGATAGGTCAAACTTCAGACAGTTAATATGAGAGAAAGTCAAATTATTTATATTGTGCTTTACAGAAAGAGGGTAGGAAAGGAGGGGGGAAATGTGAAAGAGGAAGTCACAATTTCAAGAAATATAATGTAAAAAATAGCTAATTATGTGTGATGAACTCAGATGGCCTGCTGCAGGGGGGATGCTTACATTTGTATTAATTCATCTAAAACTCAAATATTTGTTTATTCTTTCTTTCAGCTTCCTGAATGTTCATATTTGCTACTTTTCTTTGTCTTTTGTGAACCATACATGTAACATATTTGTACTGTAGATTAGCCAAAAACAAGCAGTATAAAGTCTTCCTTGTGGGGTGAATGGTATTTCTCATAACATCTTCCAGTCTAAACGGATAATGCTTTTTTCTTGCAAATGAAAAGCATGACTAGTGTCCAAATCAATGCTAACATTAGTCTTTATCTTAACGCAGCTATACTGTTAGTCTGGTTGGTTGATTTCTCAGAAATGTGCACCAAATAAGCAACATATCCACCCTTTTTGAGTCCTGCATGTTGTGACCCTGTCTTGTACAGGAACCCAGAGTCCTAATGTAGTTGTGATGGTGAGTGAATCTGGGGCTGTGTATAGTCTGCTGTAGGGAAATGATGGTGCATACAGAGGGTTGGGTGAAGAGGATTTACTCAAATCCATCTGTGCACATTGAAGTATACTTTATTTAAAGCCGATGTATACCGGACATTATACGGCTTATTGGGTGTTACGTATGCAGAGATAGAACGTCCCTCTCTCTTTTAAGTACAACATAGGAGGTTTATGCAACATGCTATCTCCCTGCCAGAGGGTGCTGTGTGAGACTGAATGCACATCACATAAACACACACAATATAATAACCAAACAACCACAATGAGATATAGATGCTATTGATCAGCTGTTTTGGTTCAAGGAAAGCTACAACGATGGATGTCACCTGACCACTGCAGCTAATGCCAACACTCCCACAAATACTGGAGGAGATAATTAACATTTGCATCGTGTCAGTCTGCCTAATTAACGTGAAGCCTGAGAGTTAATCAGTGTTGACAGCGTGTTATCAGATAAACAACACAACATCAGGAGGGTCTCACCTGCAGCTAGTCCCTGTTATTCACCTGGATCTCCACATAATACAACATCGCTGTCAGAGAAAGGTGTATTTTCCCACGAGACGCCCAGTGAGGATATCGTCGGTGATGGTGTTTATTTTCTGCGCTGGAGGGGGACCGCTGTTCGTCCTGTAGTCCCCCGCTCGGAGCGTTCATGTGTCGACCTGTCAGTCCCACCCTCCCCGCTGCAGCTCCATCACTAAACACGGTGTGCTGTGTGTGTCCGATGTGTGTGAGCTCCAGTGTGTGTGAGCTCCGGTGTGTCGCCGGTGTCTGAGCACAGATCAGGTTAACAGTTACATCAGAAGAAGACAGCACATCCTCCTGCAGAACATGAAGAAGAGGGGCGCCCCCCCGTGGTGCACTGCCGCCTGCAGGAGTCAGGCTGGGTAATGTGAACATTACGGCTGGAAATACTTGAACCACTGGTGGAATAACACAGATATTTTTAGTAAAAGTAGCGATACAACAGTATAACAATTACTACATTCAAAATGTGCTGTAGGTAAAATTATGGACTGTAATATGAGCATTAAGATGTACAATACGTACCACCTAGTTTTATTATAATAACTCAATATTGTGCTTCTTTATAGTTATATTCCACTTTATTTAATCAAATTAGTAACCTTAAATTGCTAATTGAAAACCAAAGATTGCCACCCAGCAGTATATATGACAAAAGTTAATATGAGCTCAACCTTTACCAGTTGCAACATTATAATATGTAGGCATAATGGACACATTCATGCATAGGCCTACAACGTTATAATCCAGTGATATAAATCCGTTTTTTCGAACTCTGCATAATGACTTCTTTGACTGTGGGGCATATAATCCAGGACTTTTACTTGTAGGCAATTGTTTTTAGTGTGGTTCATGTTCTTGCTTAAGTAAAGGATCTATTAAAACAGCCAGGGTTTCTATAACTTCATATACAAAAATATAATGTAATATTTGTGTCAAAGACATTCAACATTTGTAAAAAAACGAGTCATAATAACAGGAACAATGTTCCAAGTAGTTATCGAAAAATCTTAATTTATTGTGCAACAACAATATTATAGTTCCAGTGAAGTTCATGTCTTGTTGAAAACTGCATGGCAAAAGTAAGCAGTGCACAAGATTCCATGCACAAGCATCGATCGAGAAACAACAAAGAATGTGTGTGTGTGTGTGTGTGTGTGTGTGTGTGTGTGTGTGTGTACTGAAAGTGTGCTGGTTTGGATTTTACAATGAGCTCCAATACAGAGCGTCCAGTCCTGTAACAAATATGAAACATAAAGCAAGGAAAGTGTCAAGTAGTAATGGAAAGTAAACAAAGAAAAAAGGCGATTTTGATTCAAGTAAACAAATAATTTTTTCAAGTTTCATACATTTGGCCCAAAGCAAATAGAAAAAAACGACTCTTAAAAGAAATAAACATGTTAAAAATGTACGAAAACATAAAACAAACACCTTCGACGTCAGAAATGTTCATTGACACATTAATTAAAATGGCAGTCATATTTCCCGAGTGGATGAATGTCTCTGCTGGAAAGTCCTTTTTGATTATTCATTCACATGGCAGATTTAAAAATCTACACCTGAATATGGCAAGTAAAACATATCATATTAATATTTCTGTGACTAAAAAAGTAAACGACTTTACAAATCTGTGCATTTCTAAAAATATACTCCAAAAATGGAAATATCTTTCAGACATATAAAAATATCCCAGAGATATACGTATAAAAAGATGGTGTGGAGTCTTTGTACAGATGGTTTTATGGCACAGGCAGACAATCAGTGCAGTGTATGAAAGTTGTAGCTTCTACACTGTGGTGAGAAAAGACAAACTTTGCTATATGTTGGCAGAGGAGCGGAGGACGTGGAATCTCTTCAGAGTCATGCGGAGAGATCCCAGCTGTCGATTCAGCCTCTCCAGACGGTTCTCTAAGGCCACCTGGGGAGGAGAAAGAGAAGAAAATTAACTACTTGGATGATTGGTTATTAGTTTCATTTATTTATGAAGCAAAAATGTAATACATGATCTGGTTTCTGTTCTTCAAACAGAAAGATTAGCAGCTTTTTAGCCATGATAGCAATCTGTTTGTCAGTCCACCACTTTGGTTAAAATATCTCTACAACTTTTGAAGGGATTGCCATAAAAATGTGCTCATACATTTATGGAGTTCAGAGGATGAATGCTAATTATTTTGGTGATTCCCTGACTTTTCACTAACCCCATGAATTAAGAATGAAAACAAAGCCCTTGAATGGCAAAAATCCACAAGAGATTTTCACAGTCGTTTCATGATGGGAAACTCACTCGATCATTTAGAAAATATATAAACAATAACTAATAATAAGATTTTGGATCAATCATTGTGTTTGTATATACTGAACTAATCGTTACAGGTTTGTACTGGGGGAACATTTTATAAAAAATGAAGTAATTTATTCAATACTCGTTTGGTGTATAAAATGTAAAAAGGGAAATACATTTGAAAAATGCTCATTATAATATCCTAGAGCTCAATGTGACCTCTAAGTGTTTATTTAAAACCCCAAAATATCAAATAATACAATTATATCAAACTAAGAAAAGCAGTCTTCCTCACATTTGAGAAACTTGACAATCAACAATTGGTTAAAAAAAAAAGTTATCCACTTAGTCTTTAGCTCTCACTTTAAAAAAAACTAAAGTGTTTGAACATGATCAATATATCTGCGTCTCACCTCATCTAACCGGGTCTGTAGAGTCACTCTCCCTCCGGCTCCAGGCATCCGACTCAAAGCTGCCTCAACCTGCACAACACACACAAGTTAGCATTTAGTACCACAAATAATCATATTGATGAAACAACCGGGAAAATGACATGTGCTGAATGCTTTCACGTTCACCACATTTGGTGGTGTGTGTGTGTATGTGTGTGTGTGTGTGTGTGTGTGTGTGTGTGTGTGTGTGTGTGTGTGTGTGTGTGTGTGTGTGTGTGTGTGTGTGTGTGTGTGTGTGTGTGTGTCCAGATGTCCCTTAGGACTAGGACAGAGGAAGGGGGGGACATCAACTTTCTAAAAATAGAAGTCATTTAGGAGTGGTGTAAAAACAATGAAGTCTGTGTTACATAAGAGGTCAGCTGAGGATTAGAGTTGCACTGTTAAGGCCTGTGTGTCAGAGATAAAAAGCTCTTTAAACTGAACTTCACTGCGGACGTGAGTAAATGTCCTTTGCGGAAATATGTGATGTAAATGGAACATTTCAAATTCTGTTTTATGAACTGAGCTTTGTTTGGAAAACTCATTACCAAATCTTCTAACTGCTGGAGACAGTGTGGTTCTCCCAGAACATTCTTTATATTTTGCTTTTGACCATTATTAATTCCTTTCTAGCAGGATGTTCATAACGTTTTGCAACAAGTACCTCAGTTAGACATTATATTGAACTGTCTAACTGAGGTACCTGCCATTGGAAAATCATTGGTTTGATTTTATTAATGATATTTTTAAGAAATAAAAACGTATATCAAGTAGACTGCAACAGGAAAAGAGTTTGAAAAGATAGGAAAGTTTAAATGTTAAAATGTTTTTACCTTTTAGTTTGTAAAATGATTTAACATTCAGGTTGATGCATTTAAGTTTGGTTTTCTTTGATCTTGTTATTAGTCCTTATTTTTTTACCTGGTACATGTATTTGATCACTTTCTGCTATCGTTTTGTTCAACACAATGCCTCACATTAAGCCTAACATTTGATACTTTATATGAGAATGATTACGTAACCCTGGTGGACGAGTGGCTCAACACTGTGTGTGATGATCTGTGAGTCAGCTCCTCTCACAGAGATATAAAAAGCCCTCACCTGCAGTTTCTCCTGCGTCAGCTCATCCAACAGTTTCTCGGCCTCAGTCAGCGAGTGGAATCTGTCCAGGAGAAACGGAGGCGAGTCCTCGCAGGAGTCCTGCAGCTCGGAGACACCAGAGACCCCCGGCCCCTCCCAGCCCAGCTGGGGGTTTCCCTCCAGAGGGTTAACACTGCCCGAGCACTGCTGCAGGTCTGAGGGAGAGGAGCAGAGTGTCATGTGATCCTCCATGTGTGAGCAAATATTTACTTTATTTGTATCCACCACATTTATGTCAATAAGGGAAGCACACTGTAGAAAACACCTTAAAGTTTATATTGTGTATATTTGGGTTTTGCACTTTATTGATCAAATGTATTGTTTCCCATTTAGTTTTGTGCACTCTGACCTACTTTGTCCTGCAACAGCAAACCATTTTCCTTAAGATAGAAATTGTTATATCTCATTATAAACATAACGTTTTTCACAAAAACTGAAAATGTATACACTCCTTAAGTAAATTAGATCAATTCCAAAAGACTGGATAAACGTTTAAAAGTTGCTCAAATACTTGTTTTGACAGAAATACAAAAATATTAGCATAAAGAAATCGGGCCAACCATAAGAATTTAATTTCTATAACACATTTACTTTTAAAACCACTAGAGCTTGACTAAATTACCATCTTCTCTGTCTGCTGAGGAAAACTGGAGTCTCTTCCTGGGACTGCCGTTGTGGAATGAATCACGCCTCTGGTCAACTTCATCATCAGTCCTGTAGACAAAATTAGATTGTTTTCAAAAATTGATTTTCTGCAGTGTAATGTAGATAAAAGTGGTCAAGAATTTACAGTTATGTCTCTGTAACACTAAGCTGTTTATGGTTCATGCTTAGACTGCATTTTAATAAGCAAGGAATGATTTGGCCTACTTTGGGTTTTTTGTAAGCAAGATGTCTTATGTCTTACATTTTAGAAAGCAGTGTTGCACATTGTCTGATACAAGGGTGGTCATCACTCTCCTGTTGTATTTTAAGCATTAACACAATTTCACGACAGCAAATGTAGAGGGAATTAATAAATGTGCAAAATGTTCTCTACAATCCATCCAACATTTTGAGATATTATAGCAGTTTTCACTTTGCTTCGATCGCCTAATCTAACTTGCAGAACTAATAACATGTTGTGTGTTAATCACCTTTTGTGCATGTGTGCCTCTCTTGGCATCAGGTGACCAAAAGCAGTGGAGTAGTTCTCAGAGGGGCAGCGTTTGGGACTGGACTTTGCAGACCTGGGCATCAGTAAAGTTCCTCTCTTGGCTGGATGGAAAAAAGAAGAGCATGGCATTAGTTAAAACAATAACTAACCAATACAACATTGAATGAAAAATACATTCACCAGGGGGTTTCAGCAGTTTGAAATGTTTACATTAAAAAGCCTCAAAGTCCAAGTCTAAATGACTTGTACACATGTGTATGTATGCTTGGAAGAAAACAAAAAAGGTCCTCAAAACAACTCTAAAAGAGTTCCAGAATACATTGAAACCTGAGCCTGATGTTGTGTACCGGTAAATAAGATAATTGTTGATAATATGTGTATGAAGAGCCTGTGAGGACATACTGGGGGTAGTTGTTGGTTTGTTTCGATGTTCTGGAGGCAGTGAGGAGGATCTGTGGCCGTCTGGAGACAGACTCCTCTGAGCTCTCAGGAGAGCTGCAGCTCTTTTCTTTGCTACCCCTCCTCCTCTTCCTCTTCCTCCTCCTCCTCCTCTGGGCTCAGCTATGGCTGCTCCTCCAGATTTCCCCCCCTCCCTCTCGGTCTGCAGCACCTCTTTGTGTCTCCGCTCCACAAACCCCACAGTGGTCCTCTGATTGCCGACCCCTGCAGAGAGAAACATCATTTGGTGAGGTTAAAAAAGGTATTTTTTTACATGCCTAGAATGGCCTTTATCTCTCGGAGGAAATAAAAGCACAAATAACAAAAACAAACAAATAAAACTTGCAAAATACATAAGGCCCACAAGAGGCTATCAGTTTCTTTTCTTATGTGATCATTAAATTAAATAATGTTTGTTTTGTTTGTTAGTCCTTAATCAATTTTGAAGGCATCCCTTCGGGGGTTAGGATAAGGTTAATTATTCACTCTTTTCTGACATGTGATGCACATATTCTGACACCCCAGGATTAATTGATGTTTCTTCTTATCCTTTATTACTTATTTTTATACAAGTTTCTATTCGGATGGTTCAGCCATAATTCCGTTAAGAGCAGTGTCTTCTTAAAGGTAAAAAAAAAGGTTCTAGTTTATATTAAGAAACATGTCAGGCTTTGCTGTGATTGACCACTAGAATGTGTCTTGATTCGGTGGCAGCCACTTAATTGCACAATCATGCTACATACTGTACTACAGTATAAAACTGATTGCAGCCATTGTTCCCTTCTTCTCCTGCTGCAGGGAGAAGCCAGACACCTATCATAAATGCAACGTTATGTATGGAAGGAATATTGCTGTTATGCCCCAAGTGTAATGAGACCTCATTAATACATGTTTAAATTAGAAGTTGGACATGGCGTTTTATTTGGAGCATTTATCAGGGCTTATGAGTGAGGCATACTGTAGGGGGTGGGGCTGTTCTTACAGGGGGCCCGGCTCTCTGTGGCTCTGGTCTCCTCCAGCTCTATCAGGGCCCTCATCATGGGCGTCAGGGCAGAGGACCCCTCCCTGGGGCCGGACTCCCGCTGACTCTGCTCCTGCTGCTTGTGCTGCTGCTGCAGAGACTGCTCACACTCCGGGGGGGACGCACACCTGCAGGACAAAAAAGAGTTGAATCCAGAGGTGGACAAAGTATCTTTACTTAAAGAGCCTGTGACACGAGTTTCCCCCATCATCCAAACCCATCAATTTGAGTAAATATTGTCCCCTTGAAAACCGTTACTGAACTGATTTTGGATATTTGTACTTTGATAACCATTAATCTGCCCTTCAATGTTGACCATTTCCTGGATCTGCTCGGGGATTCTTCAAGTCCCGCCAAATTACGTGTGACGTCATTGCGGGCACAGCGCTCCAGCTGCACCGTTCAGGATCCCAGCATCTGCATGTAAACGCACGATGGCGCACACAGCAGCAAGCGATGACAGCGATGACAGTTTCATTTTGAACCTGTCTGAGAGCTCATATGAGGCTGAAGGATCGGTTTATGTTGTATCTGTTAGAAGTTTAGGAATTAGGTGCGTCAATATGGGCGATCATACGGTCATGTAGCCAGTGGTGGAATGGGACTAAAAATCATCCCGGGACTCTCAACCGGCCCACTTCGGTACCGCTAGTAAATTGCCAACGGGGGGAGTGGGGGGATGTCAGGGGCGGCGGGTGCTGTAGGTAGTAAATATAAATATGTAAATATTTGTGTCACTGCATCCTGGTAAAATACAAATATAATGCAATGTCTGTGTCTTTGACATTAGCGCTGCTAGCCACCTGTACTACGAAGCCAGTTCAACAGACCCTGGATATGTTTGAGTAACAAACTAACAACAACAAACTAACAAACGAGATCTCGCTAAGCGGTCCTACGACGCTGGTTATCAACTCGGTAAATCAAGCCAGGGTTTCTCTCACCAGCTGAGAGCGCGTTCACGTCTAACCCCCTAATCGCACCAGGAGCGTCTGCGCTGCGGCCGCGCCGCGCTGCGACCTCCTCCTGCGACCTCCTCCTGCGTCCTAACCCACCAGGCGCGTTTCAAAACGTTGCGGAAGCGGAGCGTCTTGTGTGCAGCCTCGCAGTTGTTGGATGAACATTCCACTTCCTGCCTGCGCCGCGCTGCGCCGCGTCAAAAATAGGATTCATCCTATATTTTAGAAATTCCTTGCGGCGAGGAGCTTCTGGGACGCTTCGAGCTGCGGCGCAGCGCGGCGCAGCATGTCTGGTGGAATAGCACCCATTGACTAGAGTGGCCGCGATCGCTAAAAACGCCGCAGCGCAACGCAGCGCAGACGCTCCTGGTGGGATTAGGGGGTTAGACACGAGTGGATCTGACTTTAAATTACATTTGACTCGAGTGTTTCGTCAACATAATATGTTGCTTAAAATAATACTTCTGCATACAGTATGTGACACTGTAAGTGTTGCACGGCCAGAAACGGCTGGAGAAGCTGACTCAGATAAGGAAAGATATGATATATTATGATATTATATGATCGATGATCTGATTGATGATGTAATATGAATGATAAGTGCGACACGTCGGCGTCTTCTCTGCATAGGCCTACGGCAGTTTAAACTGTATTTCCTTTATCCTGTAATATGACTTGAGAGATTTAAACTCCGCACACTGAGTTGATCTCTTTTCTATAGACGCCGGAGGCGGGCAGCGTCAGGTAAAACAAGTTATTTAGCCTTCCCAAACCTGAGCCTCACGCGCCGCCTATGGGGGATGTGCTAGTGACTTATCCGACCGGCCCACTTCGGTACCGGCCCATCGGGATTCGTCCCGATGGCCAGTCCGCCACTGCACCCAGCCCACGTAAACTGTCAACGGGGGGAGCCTCGCTGCGGGGAAACGGTGGACCTAGTGTCCCGATCGGAGTGGGAATAATAATAATAATAATAATAATAATAATAATAATAATAATCCGTGCATTTTATCCATTAATTTCCCCAACATTGTGGTAAAAAAACACACGTTTAATCCATGTTGGTGTACTACAACTACAAAAAGCATCGGTTTGTTTTCTCATCAGGAAATGCAGAAACAAACAATTTTTAATCATCATTCTCCCGATCATTTAATCTATCATATGTTCGCAGAATTGACATGAAAGCACTAATACATGTAGTTTCATCCACTTGAGTTTACAACTACAAAAATAATCGATTTGTTTTTATATCACATCCGACGGGAGGAAATTCAGTAGCTCTCACTACCGATTTTTAATCCTAATGTAATCATCATCTTCACCACGATCATTTATGTTTATGTTCGCCAAATTGACATGAAAGCACTGACAGATATGAATATACTGTAGTCAACTTCATTAAAACGTTATTAACGTGCCTAAACTCAGTAATTCACCATTTCTACGCATGACAACACACTTTGTCCGTGTTTGGCTCTCTCGCCGCACAGTGAAGCGCTCCCGCATTGACGTCACTTCCGGCTTCCCCCAAAAACTTCAAAATGAGTCGAAGGAATTTCCCCACGATGTTCGAAATTATTGATATTTAACGGAACGGTATCGCTTTTTCTTTTTTAAACTGATGGTTCGAGATTACTAGTAGCCCAATATTTCATTGCACAACAGTTGTTGGGATGCTGTCACAGGCTCTTTAAGTAGAAGCAGTAAGTAATACAACAGTGTAGAAATACTCTGTTCAAAGTCAAAGTTGTGCCTCCAAAATGTTACCATGGTTAAAGTATTTAAGTAATAGCACCAAATACAAAGTATTAGTACTTATTCCCGCCCAAGGGCCCCCCAGAACAATATTCAGTATATTATATTATTGGATTAAAATGATGCATTGATGATCATCACTTTAATGTTGCAGAGGGTAAAAGTGGAGCTAAAGCACCAAATGGTCAATAAAGTTGATCCTTTCAATTCATGATACATTTGTGCTGATTATATTTGTAATATTAGTCTTAATAAGAAATAAATGAAGTGGAGTAAAAAGTGGGATAGAAAAGGGGGGTGGAAGTATAAAAGCAGGAAATGGAAATACCTTATTACGAACATCCTCCAAGTACCTCCAAATTGTACTTAAGTGCAGTTCTTGAGTAACGATGCTTAGCTAATGTCCACCACTGCTTAAATGTAGGAACCATGTTTAATAACTTTGGTAGAAAAAACGCTAATACAATAAAAACCTACCTCCAGCTCCCCCCAACTGAAGAGCTCTCCACAGAGCTTCCAGTTCCCGATGATGGATCATTAAATGGATAATGTGACTTCTTGTGGATACTGGATTGGTTGTTTTGAAGGAATGGAGATTTCCTGCCGCTGTTCGGCTGTTCAGAAGGGGATTTCCTGCGCGTGACATCTGGTTCTGCCTTGCCTTTACTCGGGGACATCAGCAGGTCAGGATGGTGGAGGAGACTGTGGAAATGTAGAGGAAATTCAAATACAGGCACATACAGCTCAAATGTATCCGTTTTTTCCTTCTTTCTTTCAGTTTGTATTCGGCAAATAGCCGTATTAGTTCTTGTTAAAAGGAAAGAAGGTCAGTAGAACTAGTTCCCCTCTAAGCTGTCTGTGCTTAATGAACACCAGTGGGAGAATAGGAGACAAATACATCTAACTATAGCCTACATACTGTAAAAGGTGTTGTTACTAGTATTGACCACTCCAGTATCCAACCGGACACCACTGACATTTGCAGCAACATTTACATGTCGTTAAATATGCAGCAGCTGATTTATTAACATGTGTTTTGTTCAATTGCAGGCTCTTGTATTGTGTAGCATCCCAGATGAATTATAATCTAAAAGCACACATTTCTCCCTTTAGGTTCCTGCAGTATTTGTGTTATAGGCTGATATATAATCAGCCTATAACACCCACTGTAGTAATGCAACAAAAGAGATTGTCAGTACGTGCTTACCCAGCACCAGAAGGTTGTGTGTTATTGTGGGAAGAGTATCGAGCTCTGGCCTGGTTCTCGTGCTCCAGCTGCTTCACCTGAGACTCCAGTTTAGAGATGACTCTGAGGGGGACAAGCGGAGATAAGACATGGTCACAAGAATTGAAGATGCAGAAAATTGGAAGACTTTCTCTAGACTACTTTTTAAAAGGGTATGCTAAAAAAATCTAACATCTATTATCAATAATGACATTTTATTTTTGAAACAAATTAAAGATAATTGAAGTGTAGTAACAAATGCATTTTTCAGGTATAAATAATTCATGGTGTTAAAGCATCCGGAGGTATTCTTTCTTGTGTCAATTAGACTCTCAAAAAAGTATTTCTCCCTTTGCACAGAGGTAATAGGACCAAAAGCCGACCTTTATCCACACTTTGTCTCCTCTGGGTTATCATACGTTCTCTCTGCTGTCATGATCCGGCTCTAATTTGCGTCTCCTGTGAGAGTCTGACAGGCCTTGCTAACAATCTTCTCCTGCAGCATTTGGCGCTCCATTATGAGACTCCATCAGACCCTGAAGCTGGAAATGTTCTCGCATATCTTACTGGTTATTCCATTTTGAGCGCCTAATATCGACTTTGCTTTTTGACTGAAATGCCTGGAAGGATCTTCAGGTCACAAGCCAATTGTATGCGTCTTTTCTGGGATATATCTTGGGATATATCTTGTCTCTAGAGTTGGCTAAATGTAAGAAGTTCTCATTAAAATGCTGTGCTGGTGACACATGTCTTTTGCATTTTATCTTAGATTTCTCTCGCATCCTTGGTACATTTGAAATATATCTTAATTTTCCAGATTTACTCCCTCTTGTTAAAAGACCACATACATATCTCCATTTTTTTTCTTGCCTTTTCCCTCCAGGTTATTACTTTCAGTATTTAAGCCCTCCTATGACACCCGTATTGATGTTCTGCGAGCTGTAGCTTGCTATCTGTCCCTGAATCGACTTGACACACTTCATCGATGCAGAGTCCATGGCGCTGCCTCTATTGGTGCCAATTTGCAGGCAGAGCTGAAACTGCGATGGAAAGTTGCTGCGTAGTGTCAGCCGATGCTATTATCTACTTTCGACAGCACAGAGACCATCATTAGACTTTATTGATTCATTCTCTCGATCGCCCGGCTGTCTAAAAACCTCCACTGCAGCTCTTTTACAAAACTGCTGGAGCCAGCGAATGACAACGTAATAGACCTGAAACTAATAGCCATACTACAGCTGCCAAGAGATCGCTCTACATGAAGCTCTTTGTTTGTGTCTGTGTTGTTTGTTTCTGTTTTTAACATTATTCAAAAACATCACTACATCTGCTCAAGACAAGATGTGTATTATACATTTGGGTAAGTCTTCAATCAGCAATAAAGAGAGCAACTTTATTTTCCAACTAGTCCTTTAAGGTCGTGAGCTTCAGAAAGCTACTACTAAAGTGATACAGTATTGTGAAGTAGTGTAGTGAGGTATTAAAAGCAATGGAAATAAATCTTTATTCTATTTTATGCTATATTTCAAAAAAGGTTCTTACCAACTCTGACTTCTAGTTCTTGTTATTAGGAACCACATTTGAATAGTAGGAGGCTCAATAAATGAAGGGTCTGTTGGTAAAAAAAATATATATTCTTCTAATATCAGAGTAGCATATGATAACAAAGGCCCAACTGTAGCTGTGTACGTAACAGGATGTATGATTACCTAGAAGAAGAACATGATATGATAGCTATGGGACAACGATTAACATGATGATTCAGCCCCTAGGGAGATAGACAAGCATGATCATTTCTGACGTGGGCCTTCGCTCACTGAACAAAACATTGAATACTGCTTTGAACCGGTATTCCTGCATCTTGTGACTGTGATACTCCCTCTCTTGTAAATCAGCATGTGAAGGACACTATTCGGGGAACTAGTTGTATCATATGCCTGTATGTGATGACAACTTCCATTCTTGCAAGGATAATAAAAACATGTTCCCTGATATCGAAGCTCAAGCTGGAGACGAGTGAGATTTTTCTAACATGGTCACAAATTGAAACTGTTGGCAAAGAGAGCATCTTGTGACCCTTAATTAATAGAGCAAACTGTTTTTCAACTCCTATCATTTGATCCCTAATACCAAGAGTTGGTCAAAACCAGAAATAATACAGACAACTTAACATTTTAAAAGGCATACAACATCTAAATCTAATTTCTTTATAAATGATCCACTCACCTCTTCAGGTCTGATATCTGATCGGTGGCATCGTCAAGTTTGTTCTCCGTTGCCACCAGGTTGCCCTGTAGAGATTGATTGTGATATTGTTTGTCACTGCTGAAATAATGCTTTCAATCAAGATCAAATGATCACAGAGAATGTATATCATCCGCTCCAGATTCATTACCTTCAGTCCCTCGTGCTCCTTCACCAGTGAGTCATATTGTCCAAGCAGCTGAGAGACCAAACAACAGAAACATAAAGAACATCAGTGAGAATACTGATTATTGTATATAATAAGGAGCAACTTTTTCTTGATGCAGGATCAACCTATTCCCTCCTGATATGTTACCTATTCTCAAGTCATTTGAAAGTACATCAACAACACTTTATTTATATTACAAATAAATCATTACAAATAGTGGCAAGGTTCCAGTGAAAAGACGAACTTCAGATGTTAGTGAACAATAGTATATCAATGATATTTGTCTCTTTCTCTCAGCTCAGACTCACATCCTGCAGCATGTTGGACTCCCTCTCCCTCCTCGCCTCCCTCTCCTCAGCCTCCCTCTCCCTCCTCGCCTCCCTCTCCTCAGCCTCCCTGCAGGTTTTCAGCAGCTTCTCCTCCAGCTGCCGTACGTGGCTCTTCAGACGGGCTGCAGAGGCGTCCTTCTCTTTGCCCGAGCGTTTGCTTTCTTCCATTCGCTGCTGCAAGGACTTCACGGTAGCAGCCGCGACAGCGTATCGCTCCGGCCATTCTGCCTGAAAACAGAAAGTCACATAGAAAATTAAGGAATGGGGTAATGGTTGGATTTTAGTTGAATGCATATGCTTAACATATCAATATTAGACATTGAGATAATTTGGCAGATATGTGTGTAACCAGACATAAAATGAAACTGTATTTGTGTCCAGGTTTTAATAGAGTGCTTAACTTAAGCTATTAATAATCCATCATCACTGAGCTGACTAGTAGATGACTTAATTAGGGTCCATGCCACTTTCCCCACTTGATTAATTACAGGTTGTTTGCATACTTCAGAGACTTGCGTTTAATGATTTAAAGAGCCGTTTGAGGCACAAATCATATACAAATGTAAGAAAAAAAACATGCAGGAAAGTTTATTTTGACAAGTAATCCGTTAATTCAGGTTGTGTTTAATGAGTACTACATAAATACAAATCTGACAGGTTTCCTTAATTTTTTAATTGTTCTTATGAATGTAAATAAATGCATTAATAGCTTTTAGATCCTAATGACACTGTAACTCTGTCAAGAAAACTGACCATGTGAAGTTGCTCTGGGTTTTAGTCATTTAAATAATAAATAATAAGATGTCCTTGCTGAAAGATAGTACCATTTTAAATGAGTTTTCTAATCCCTAAATAGATATCTGAGGATTATTACCAGCTTCTTCTCCAGCAGGCTGTTTGTTGCATCGAGTTCTTGAACTCGACTGGTGGCCTCGGCCAGAGCTTTCTCCAGGTGCCTGCATCTGTCGATAAACAGAAAATCACAATAGCACAGAGTTTAAAAATAAATGTGATGCTGGGGAAATGTGGGGCCCTTCATGTGTGTGTCTTGAAATCTAATAACCTTGATTATGAGTTATTTGCATCATAAAAATGAATCGGCACTAAGAACATTTAATATAAAATTGCATGTGGCATTTCTTCCTTTATATTCAACATGATTCAAATGTTACTTTCAGGAATGTTCATGAATGCATCATATCAAGTGAAATGAATCAATGCACACCTGTCTGCGAGGGCCTGGTTGCTCCTCTCTAAATCCTGGGGCAGATCTCTGAGTTTCAGTTTGTCTCGCAGGATTTGAATCTCAGACTCGTAATACGCCTTCAGATCAGCCACGTGTCGAGAGTGCTTCTCTCTCAGGTTCTGCCGCAGTCTGGGGAGAAAAAAAGAAAAGAGAAGAAGATGAATGAACCCGTTGAGAGTCGATAGCTTCATTTGGACTCAAGGACATGAGTAATTAGGATGCTAACTACTTCTTTTAATGAAAAAAAACATTTCTCAAGCCTTGCAGGTCCAGGGCCAGGCTAATGCTTTTTTCTTTTATGTCCTTTCTCAGAACAGGTTACTTTTTAACTTTGTAAATGTTTTTTGACAAGGGCTCAAGGAAGGTAGTTATTGGATATCAAGCATGTGAACATCCCAGAAGAGCAAGTGTTTGTCGACTCATTGATGATCAAATCCAGGGGGAAATGTATTACAAAGTATTTTATAATAATCATAATATATTATTGTTGAAGGAATATTTAGTGCAAACATTGCATAAAGTTACATTTTAAGGCTCTCCAAAATAGATAATTCCAGATTTGTTCTTTTATTTTATATCAGGATTGAAAAATGAGACTTAAAAAGACATCACCTTAACTTTGAGAAACGTGGGATGGACATGTATCCTTATTTAATAGACCAAACAATGAATCCAGAAGAATTATTAACAGCTTAAATAATCGTTATGAAACAATGGTTAGTTGCAGCTCTACATCCCAGTATGAACAAACACTGCAACCTGTTGTTGCAGCACTCACAGAGAAAGGACGACAGGATCCTCCAGTGATGAAGCTCTCTCCATGTGTGGAGGCCGCAGAGAAGCACCGGCGGCAGAACAAGGCTTCAGGGTGCTGGTGTGGGTGTTACTACCCTCCTCCTCGCTGGCTAATGGGGCGCTGGTCCTGCACTGCTGGCTGGATGTGTGTGAGCAGGGCTGGGTCAGATCCTGGGAGGGGAACAGGACGGCCTGGGAAACATTTCCCCACGGGTTCTGCTGATGAGAGGGGGAAGGCCCGGCAGCTGAAACACTGGAGGTGTCAGAGATGCAGTCTGTGTCTCCAGGGTTGGGACTGCCCACCACCATGCTGTCGGGGGTTACAGGGGTTCCTACTCTGGGGTACACGTGGGGCTGAGCGGCAAAGGAAGGGCTGCTGAAGTGAGAGGGCGAAGTGAAGCCAGACGTACGATCTGACTGCCGCTGGTTAGCAGCTGGGTCCAACACCTAAAGCAACAAAGTGTGGGTTAGTTAGAGACACAGTCAAGGAGTTTACTGATCACTGAAGCTGTGAGACGTACCTGTGGTGACGAAGGACTGGATGTTACAGAGCCTTCCCAGTCTGAACGTTTACCGTCTGTTCTTTGCTTGTTGTTATAGATCTCTTTGAGGGACAGACCAGGCTCCTGAGATGGGGTCAACAAGAAGAAATCAGATTTAGGGGGGAGGCATAGCAAACCAGCAGCTTGGTACTCAAAACCTTTACATATTGACCAAAATATAAAATTACGAAAAGGTATTGTACCTCTAATGTGTTTTTATACCTAGAAGAAAATCGTTATTTCATTGGTTTGCCAATCACCACCAGCGTTTTTCGTTAAATGCAACATATGATTGGCCCAATTTACTACTCATAACACGACCCTTAATCAGACATGCACGTGTGCCCTGGGGCCTCATTTATAAATGTTGCGTACGCTCAAAAGATGGCGTACGCCAGTTTCTAAGCAATCTTTGCGATTTATAAAAAACAAACTTGACGGGAAAATGTGCACCATGCACACTCTGACCCATCCGTACGCGGTACGCACAAAAACGGGAGAGACGAGAAACTGCAACACCGTTTGCAGAAGGAAGAATGGAGAATGGAGAGAAATATGTGGAAATAATACCATAAATAAAATGTTACCTCTCATTTATCATATGTGAAGAATTAATTTTCACAAATGGATTAAAGCCAATCTTAAAATGATTAAACAAACGCCTGTTTCCTCAGCGCACATAAAAACATAACTTGAGAAATAAATAAATACGGAAATGTTATTGATCACCCCTCGATTACATTCTCTTGTTAAGAAATGTATTCTCATAAATGATGCGGTAAACAGAAGGATAGAATTACTTTAAACTGACGCCGTTTTGCATTTCTATAGGTTGTATAGATACGAGCATGGTTTTATATACCATCATGTTTAATCATGTTTTATGCCGTTCGCCAATACTTGATAATTCGCTCGTAAAACACAGGAGGTATGGAAACTAAGAACACCACGTGTGGTCTATTGTACAGCTAATATAACACAACACATACGTTTTATTTCCTTTAACTGGTGGATATAGCGTTGCTGCGCACAGGCTGCAGTGGAGACGCTGCGCACAGATGATCGACAGCTGGAACACAAACCACCAAATACAAAAAATTATTCAGATCCAGTCTCCACCGGGGGGATTCCCCGATCATTTCTTAGAGTTTCTCATCAAGGGGGTGTCTCCTGTCCCCGGTACAAACACACTGCCTGAGGAAGGCTGTGTGTATTGTTTTTGTCATTAAACTTTTTCGGGCCACTTATTTATTTATTTTGGTGACGATCCGACCTCCATGCTGCTCCTCTAGTTCAAACTGCATCCACCAAACAATATGATTTATCTCGACCTCCTCAAAATAACCAAAATCTGACACGGTGTGAGACGTCTTTTTTAGCTGTTCTGTCGTCATTTCCTGCGATCTTCTTCATGCAGTCAGTCAAAATGAATATTAATACGGGGCGTTTCTTTGACTATTTATTGGCAAATATGGGCGTTATGTGAAGCCCGCAAAAGCTGCGCCGCATTTCGAGTTGATTGTGATTTATAAAGGGAAACCGGCGTAGGACGTGCGTGTGCAGTGTTTTATAAATCGGAATATTTTTGTGCGTATTTATTTGCTTTGTCCTACGTAAGCCACCTTCCCACGTGAATCATACGCAAAGCTTTATAATGAGGCCCCAGGTGAATATTACATTTTACTCACAAGACTAATGGAGGCCTCCTGCAGAAGGAGGTAAGCACCGCTGTCGAAGCTGTCGGGTAGAGGGTGATACAGTTCACTCTCATGCAAACGCCAATAAGTGAGCCCTGAGACAGAGGGAAGAAACAAGTCTGATTCAAGTATTTTTTTTTCTCATTTTTTGGCAGTGATGGCCATCTTAATATGGACCATTTTAAAAAGAGAAATCTAGTGTGATTCTACTTTTTCTTACTGTCTATGAATTACATAGCCACTATAAATGTATCAGCTAACAAGTTTTGTCTCTGTAGTAAAGCCTAATATAGCCTTCTGTTTATTCCACAAAAAGTATAGAGACTAGCTGTATTTATATCACTTTCAGAGAATTTTTTTTGCTGTTTTAAAAGATTTACATCTACAGTAAGAACTTAATGTATTTGGTGCTGAGAGCCACAGACCAAGTAATGAAGCCGAATTCATGGTTTACATTTTTTTCATGGGATTTGTTAACGATAAGAGAAACATGTTTGTGAATTTCTTCAGGAAACAATTAAAAAAAAGGGAATTCATATTATTACTCCAAATAAAGCCCTCAGTGGCACAACAGTGCCATCGTTCTGTCACTTGTGGTAATTACAACAAGGCTCCATCTTTAACACGTGTAATGTAATGTTATATCCTGTTTTGGTTCATTCTATCACATTCACACTGTCAGTGATTTTTTGACATGGGCCGAGCTTTGATGTTGTGTGTTTTGTCTGAGTCAGGGAATTGTTACCTGATGCCTCAGACAGCAGGCTGTCACTCCTCCTCAGGGGGAAAAAGCTGGACGACAGCCCAGACGATTGTTGCTGCTGAAACTGAGTAAAGATAAGTGGATTAGATTCGGCGGAGGGAAAGTAATCAGACCAGCTACAACAAACACTACAGATGCAGGGCAGGGATTTTGTATCTGGTTCCACTTGTGAGTTGTACCTGCTCCTGGAAGTCTGAGCTCTCCAGAGGGATTTGTTTGTGGGCTTCTCTGTGCGGCTGCTCCTGGTACTCAAAGATTTGGGATGAAGCTTGTTCTGCTTTGCTCTTCTTGGGCCTGAGTTTCTGCCTCTGGGCCCAGGAGGTCAAAGGCTGGCTGGTGCTGCCAATAGAAGAGGTTGTGTTTAGTATAGATATCATTTCTCAGTTTAAATGTTGCCTAAATCTAAACAGTGTTTATGTAGGTTCTATCAAGTTATATTTAGGACTTTTTAGTTATTTTTAATTCCAAAAGGAATGTTGTCACGCAGGCCAAAGTATGGGGATATAACAGACAACCCTTAAGGAAAATATGTGCAATATCTTGGTGTTGCGCATCATACAATATTCCTGGGTATAGGTTCCGGTGTATATTGATTTGTGTGCATGGGCGTCGCAGCCATTATATGAGGGTGGGACAAGTCCCCCCCACCTTTTAAAATGATTAGTTTAGACCCCCACACTTTTACCATGTGGAAAGTCCGTGCATCGGTCTATCCACTCGCCGCTCTTTGTAGAGCGCTGTGTCAGTGCTTCACTATCAAATCCATTCCACTTGTTTATTGAGAGAATGCCCAAATCAATGAAACTCCGTACCATGTTTTCACTGCTACTTTTCAGATCCTCAGAGTCGTACACATGTTGCGTAGCTGTGTCTTTAGTTGTCAAATTATGCGCGCCACAGTTTCCCCGCTGCGAGGCTCCGGCGCTAACAGTTCACGAGCGTGCTCCACTAGCACCCGGATATAAGGCACTGTTATGAAAGAGGTGGAGGGAGAGTCATCTCCTGTCAGACTGAGAGGCTGATAACTACAGCTCAGTGAGTTTAGATAGTTCACTTTAGTCTAAGTAGTGGGTCTCAAACGGTTTGGTAATCATTTATGTAAACAAGTATTTCCAAGGCACACTTTTAAATGATCATTATAAAAAACAAGAGAATAACAGGTATGAAATAATTCCAACTCATACTATAGGACAGTAACACAAAAATACAGGTTAAAAGGGCAGTGATTTAAAAATATGCATAAAGAAAAAGTAAATCTGTTTACAGTTCTGTTTCACATGGATGTTGTTGAGATGTATCCATCGATTTAGTTCCTAATTTTGCTCTCAAAGTGCAGCAGATTGAGGCTTTTAACTTCAATATATAAAAAAATCATCTTCCCGAGGAGCATGTCCCCGGACCCCCCTAGAGGAGGTGAGGTCCACCACCTGCCCACACCCCCTGTCAAATTGTCCCACCCACATTGAGGATGCTTCATACGCCCATGTTTGTGTGTGTGCTCCTGAATGTTGACTAGTTTGATCCTATATATACAGAGAGGTTGGGTTCTGCTTCATCACCTGCATTCTCTCCAATGACACAAATTAAAGGATATTAAAAGGCTTATGTTTTCTTATATTATCTTAATTAATTCAAAGTCCTTATATACAAGAAAGAATATAACTATGCATTTTTAAAGATGGTTCTTACAAAAAAAAACGTCCAACTAACATTATTGCTGATGTCGCGCTAGATACAAATATTTAAAACAACCATACAAAACCCTTAAAGGCCTTTTTTTGAAGAGACTGAATTGAATGCTTTTAAAGACTTTTCAGTGTCTGTAAATATGATGTCGTACGAAGTTGTGGTTAGTCTGTCCAAAGAAAACCTCAACTTACCCAGAGTTGGTCTGCTGGTAGAGTGGTGGATTAGTTTCATCCACTCCGAGAGCCATCACATGAGTAAAATCCTGCTGACCCCCAATCAAAGTAGTCTCTGTGTATTCTATAAAGTTAAGGGACGAATGATGCTTGTCCCTCCCTTGAACACCGTCCTCATCTTCCCCCGGAGACCCTGCAGGTTCCAGAGCTGTGTCCCATGCAGACAGAGTCCCGTACCCGCTGCTGAGCACTGTGGTCGCCCGCTCCCCCTCCTGGTTGGCGGTCTGTGATCTCTGGAGTGGAGGTGAGGGGGAGCTAAAAGTGGTAAGGGCTGGGGCTGCCAGGCTGTTATTGTCACTGGCCACATTTTTGGAGAATGTGCAGCCATTGGAGATGAGGGGGAAAATATAATCCTTTTTGTTTGGGGTAGTTTTGGTCATCGAAGTTAGAGAGAACTCTGTGTGTGGCTGGAGGCTGGCCTGGCGGTTCTGGAGCTGAACTAGAGCTTTGATTTCATCCTGAATCAACTGGGAAAAGAATATCATGGTTTACTGCATGAACAAACATTTTTACACCATGGTAAGTAACTAAGACTAACGCAGACCTACCTGTATTTGGCACTGGTATTGTTCTTGCTGAGCGAGTATTTGCTCTTGGTATTGCTTCTCAACCAGCTGAAACAGATGCAACCATCGGCCCTGTAGTAGAAAAAAAGAGAATGTAATGTCATGTAGAATCACTTCTCACAGCAGGACTATAACAGTTGTGACACACCCATACATTTGTTTTTGTAATCACTGTTTAAATCAATTAAATTGTTTTACATACAGTTACCTCATCGGGATGTTTGACCTTCACTGTGCAGAATGACGTATGAGCAGAGTTTGTTCACTGGGCTCATTTTATATATGAACTTAAGATGTGTACTAAAACGTATGGATTTTTTAAATGACGACAAGTTTAGAGGGAGATTTTCTCCAGTATGCAACTTACAAGAATACTTAGCATTCAACCAGAAGTGAAATGCAAAGTATTGAAAACATGAATGCACATACGTTTACTGAGAATGCATTTCACAGGGAAGTATGAGACATCTTGCAGTTCAAGTTTTGAAGTGAATTTGCATTTTCAAAGATTATGGATTTTCAATTAGGAAAGAAAAGCAGCAGACGCAATTTGAAGATCTTTAATGAGGTATAATAACTTCTTAAAATCTTATTTCCAAGTGTTTTCGTCTTAAAATATGTCTGGAGGGCATAATTTAACTGTTGTAATGATACAACATGTGTAGTGCACAGAGCCACAAGAGTCTGCAGGGACCATCTGGGTGTAGCCTGTATGTGTGAACATGTTCATGTATGCAGACCTGCAATGCAGAACCATGTGCCTGGCCTACTTCCTACCTAGTATATATAGAACATGGCAAATATATATTAGCTCAGCTGACAGATACATTTATTAAAACAGCAGTAACGATGTTAGTAAATCCATGTAAACCCAATGAGCAGAGCTGATCTGCATAAAACATAAAAGATGTGATTCTGAAACTAAACTATTCTGCATACAGCTTGCATGTACATCAAACAATAGCTCTCTAGAAATGTAGGAAAGAGCCTTTTAATTAAGAGAAAATAGTGGGGGTTTTTACCAGGTATGTCATCTAAAAGGCTGATGAACTATGCAGTGAAATGTCTTTATGTTGTAGCGCATCACAGTTGTCTCTTCACTGCAAATCACATCCGGTGTCTGAAAAGATCAGCTGCAGTGTGGTGCTGTGTCTTGCTTACTGTCAGGTGTGATCCACACAAAAAATAAAAGTGACAGCTCAGAAATTAGGCTGCCAGCTGCCAAATGCAGAGCACAAGAACAACTGCCACAGCAGCTAACCCCATCTTCTCTTTCAACATCATGAGTGTTCATGTTTACTCTCATTTCCACATTGTGCAATAATTATTTCCTTTCAGACTCTGTGGTATTTTCCTACCTCACAATCCTTCCAGATCTCAGGGTCGGTTTCTCCGCTGCTTTGGATCTCCTGCACCAAAGCCCTGAGGGTCTCAAGAGAGCTTGGGTTGATGAATGGGAGGCTCTTCCTCTGCTCAAATGCTTCCTCTGTGCTCAGACACAAACTCCTGCAATAGAGTTATATGATATGAAAATCAAATACTTTAGTTAAGTACTCAATAAATGTGCAAGAAAGATCTATATTATCGCATTACTAGAAAATTGCATTTGTCCTTAGATAAATGAGAGAGTATATTTAAATTCCCTGCTGCTAAAGACATATACTGGCCACTGTTTCATATTGTATCTCTGGACAAAGACAGAGAGACTTTGTTCCATATAGAGTGGCGAGGTCCCTCCCCTTCCGGGGACCTCCATGGGACCTTATTTTGGAAAAAGTATGTATTGAAGTCAATGGAGAGAGAAAACGTATCTTTCGATCCCGTTTGAATTGTGCCATGAATTACACATATGATGTTTGTCAATCTTAATAAAAAATGTCCATGTCAAAAAAGTCACAGTTTGTCGTAAAACTGTTGAAATATAAGACTATGAAAAATACGCAACTAGAAAGACTACAAATGCCAGAATCCCGTTCCCGCATGCTGGCTCTTACGGAACCGACTAACTCCCCTTGTGTGTATGTACAGCTCTCAACGTGCCCAGACTTGTAGTGATTTTCACCTCTTTTAATACTTTTCGCCTCATTCTGAAAGAAAGAAGTGAAATGTGCCAACGTGACGGCCGTCTTGGTGTGCGGTGCGAGACGGGAGATGTAGTTCATTGAGCGGTTTCACACAAAACAAAGTGTTACTTCACAGTTTTACGACACATTTTTTTTTTACTTGCAAAATTATCTTTTAAATTGACAAACATCATATGTGTCATTTGTGGCGCAATTCAAACGGGATCGAAAGATGATCTTTCTCTCTCCATTGACTTCAATACATACTTTTTCCGAAATAAGGTCCCATGGAGGTCCCCCGGAAAGGGAGGGACTTCTGCTCTCTATACAGTAAGATGTTTACAGTTACTGCACCTGATCTTGTTGCATGCTGGTGTGATGTCCATGTTCTCCACAGTGCCTCCTGTTGTTTGGGAGGTTGTGTGTCTGTCCTCTGAGACAGCCAGCCCAGAGGCTGATGTTCCCTCAGAGGACACCAAAGAGGTCTCACTCTCCTTACCCACATCCCCATCAGCACTGGCATGGCAATGGCTCAAAGCCCCCGAGGTGGACGCATCCTCAGAGATACTGTCATCTGTGGACATGTTTATGGGCCCATGCAGAGGGGGTCAGTCTGACAGCTGGAAACCAAGAGAGGGGGAAACAAGAAGCAGTCAGACATGTGATGTGGAAATCCACACACCTGTTTGCTTGCACTAAAATAAACACTTGTACACATCTATGGAGAACAGATCATTATACCACTATGGGGTAACTGGGTGTTAACGATCCATCACTTAAACTGTGTACTCTGTGCAATGATAATATTGTTGTATCTACTTGATTTTGATTGTTTGCAAAACAAAAACAAAGTAGCAATAACACAACACAAACAAACAAGCAAGATGTGCAGGTCACATTTAAATAAAAAAACCTAGAGGTTAACAGAAGGCACTGACATAACCTAAAAATGCATTATAAGCCAATACAAAAGTAGAATAATCAACAAAAGTAAACACACAAGCACACAGAGGATCAAAAGGAAAATATTATGTAATAATCTTATCTAATAGAACTGTAACAACAAGCAGCTGTTTAAAACCCAGCTATTATAGCTCATTATAAGAACTCTTTCCATGTCAAATGTCTAACTATACATCTGATGTCAACATTACATAATTAAACAAAACCTTAACAAAAATACACAAGATGTGTAAATGATTTACATTAGCATCTACGATTATTCTCTGTCTAGCATGAACTGTTATTCCTGTGTGACTAGCATCTTGTCTGGACTGGCCATGGTTAATTGAATTTAGCACCATCAACACTATAAACAAGACACAGACAGACAGCTATAATTAGCCATGCAGCAGCGGTTTAAACAATTAAACAATGCCAGCTACATTAGCTTCCTTAGCTACGGTGTCAACCAGCAAGCACCGATGTTGCAGCCCGTTAAAGTTGCCTGTCAACTCTGGGGGAGGTTGGGTGAGTTATCTAGCTAACATGCTAACTACAACTACCTAACACTGACAGGCAATTGGTTAGCTAGCTAGCTAGCTAAGTTGAGCTAAGTTGGTTTATTACAGGTTTGTAAGGAGAGCGTAGGCAAGCTGGACAGCGCCAGTAGCATTATAACAGACACAAAACGAAAAGCAAACATTCTTTTATAGAATAAATAATGGCGCAGATAGATAAAATAATAGTTGACGTTACCCGTTGACTTGTATCATCGTTTCATCCATATTTCTGTGAGTAGACCAGACAGCTAGCTGGTTGCTGGTTGGCTACTGCACTGCAGTGATCTGTGGCTGCTGTAACGTTCACAGCCTGCAACGCCATTGGTCAATCCGTAATCAAAATTACAGAGCCGTTATTGGTCGTTCCTCTCATTCTGTGTTTCTATTGGTTGTTAGGGGGGAAGACGTATACACATGTTGGGACAAAAGCTGACACAGAAGAAAAACTACTGTCACAGTTTCTATTGGTTTTTTTATTTATTTTTTGAGCTACTTCTACTTTAATAGTTCCATTTTATATACCACTACATGTCAGAGAAAAATATTCAACTTTTTGAACCATTATATTTATATTATGCGTGTAATTACCTATGGTAATTACTGGTAAGCTCACAGCTTTAGATTTTTTTTATAAACTAAATTGAATATCATTATTTTATACTAACTAAAATGAAATGATTTGATTTTGTAAGAAAACCTGTGGCCCTTCAATCTGAAACCTTGTGCACTTTTACTTTTAATGCCGGAATATTGGGTTCCATCACGCTAGTGTGTAATCCTGATTTCCACCACTATTATGTCCTACAGAAAGCCCTACAAAATGATATATACATATATATTGATAGTTGTTTTTTTTGGACCCCAGGCCTATCTGTCAACAGTTCACTCGTTAATATTTTTAACAAATGTGTCTTTACATTGTCAGTTTAAAAAAATAATGAAATGAACTGCTTTTATGTAGCGCTTTTATCCAAGTGTCCTATTAGTCGTACATTTACACACAATAATGGCATCAAGCTACCATATAAGAAGCTGGCCTAAACATAGAGACGAATTGAGAGTCATTATCTTAATTAAGAAGCAAGTCAGATGAAGAATGTCCACAGAAAAAAAGAGAAAAATCCCTGTGGCTTCTTAGTTGTCCCCTTTCTTGACCACTATAATAAAAAGTTGGGTAGACATAAGTGATCATCAAAACTGGATGACGAGTGTCTGAAATGCACTGAATCATACAATGACAACTATATTGAAAATACAATTTATTACACGGAGTAATAAATACATACAAAGATGCAAGTAACAGCATTTTCCTTTTTTATAATACCAAAACCAACCTCAACACGAATGAACCGATGCATTTGGCACATTTCTGCCCCTCACTCACTTACAGTCGTGTGTGTTATAAGGGTCTGAAAAACAGACCAAAATACTATCAAAAAACAAGTCTTTCCATCTACCCCTGTACAAGCCATGCGCCGTCTACAATTAACCCCCGGGCCTGTTCACATGCACAAATCAATGTTTTAAATATGAAGTCAAAACTAAGATCCCAAAAGTGGGGCATAAAAACACATGAATGAATTCCACTAACCCACACATGATTTAAATGATCCTCCAGAACCCTCAGGATTCATGAATTGTGTTATTGTATTTTTTTTTTTTCTCAAGGAGCTTGATTTTCCCATCCTTTGTTCATTTACTTCCTCTTCTCCAAGGAAGTGCCATGCACATTTTTAATTTTTAATTTCACGAGACGCACTCTGTTAGTTCTTCTTGCAGGGAGGAATGTCTGTTGGCAGCTAGGACCTCGCATTTCTCTCCGTCTCTGACAAACATTCACGCACCAACCCTCTGGCATGGATTATTCCTTTAAAGAAAGACAAATACAATTTAAATTAACAAACTGTAATATACTGTAAGTTGTACACTCTAATTGTTCTACATTTCAGGCAATGAAAGAAGATGAATTCAGAACATTTATTTCAGTAAAAGTAGTAATATCACACTGTGAAAATACTCCAATACAAGTAAAAATCCTGCACCCTTACTTAAGCAGAAGTATTGTTAGCTAAATATACTTGAAGAGTAGAGTAGTCATTTTGCAGTAAAATGTTCCCTTCCAGTGTTTTACAATATATAAATAAATATAATTTGTTTGGATTATTATTGCTGAATGTGTACGTCAAATGTTACTCATGTAGATGTTTATAGTTGTGCTAATTTTGAATACTTTATAAACTGTTGAGTTGTTTAATCTTCAGCAATGCGTTATATTGTATAAACTAGTCATGTTTGTAACGTTGGTTTCCTATCCATGTCTTTGAGATGCTAATGATGAACTGTTAACCAAAGAATTTTTACTTGAGAAAGTACGTCGTTTAATTTCAAGGTTAACTGTTACCTCTTTTCAGTCTCTCCATTGCACTCTTGCTTCCGGCATATGTGGGCCTGATCTCCTTCCCAAGCTCTTCGATGATGGCCAGCAGCTCTGCATATTTGTTCTGAGGCACTTGGCTGCCACTGGAGCCCTGAGGTTAGAGCAAACAGAAAAAGACAAGCCAGGTTCAACACATTTCACATCGATTTTGGTATGCGGAAGGTAGCAAGATCACAAATAAGTGACGCAAAATGTAAGAACTTACAAAAAGGAAGTCTATTTTAAAGAAAGGAATATGTCATTACAATAATCCTTTGAAAACCATCTAAGAGCAAGAGAAAAACAGGCAAGCATAGACACGTTTGTAATATCTCATTAAATTAACATTTTCCCTCCAATTATTATTGAGAAAGCAATTAAAAGTAACATTTTGAATTTCACACATCAAGATTAGTTTACTAGTCATGTGTTATACTAGTCTACCTAGGACACAGTTGTATGTCTTTTTTGCTTCAACTGACCATTATCTGTCTTTTGCAAGTACCCTACTAATGGAAGTTTATAACATTCCTTTAAATAGGAAGTCAATGAAGTGAAATATATGTGACAATCAGATCAGCAGTTTACCTGTGAGAATCCCAGAGACGGAGGTCCAAAGTCGCTCAGAAGCGGCCTGTAGGACTGCAACGTGGCCAGGTTAGCTGCTGAGGGAGACTGGAGGCTCCCAACTGTTCAAAAATCACAAAAGGGCATTAGATATACAGCATCAATTGTTGTCATTGTTGTTAAGATAAGATGGACAATAACATCAGAAAATAGTTAAAAACACTCTTGACATTTCACCAAAAACTGAAATCAGACCTTCAGATTCGTTTTGTCTAATTTATTAATGTATTTTGTGGGCATAAAATAACATGTTTCTGCATTGATAATAATAATATTAATCTAAAAGTTAAATATATGACAGTGTTACAAAGAGAGAAAACATGTAAGCAGTGGTGGATGAAGCATTTTGATAGTGAGGTAAAGGTAGCTACTATACTACATATTAACCTTACGTTGTTACTAGAATAAGTCCTGCATTCAAACTCTAAAAGTTCTCATTATGAATTTTAGAAACACATGTATTACATCGTTAGATAATAAATATTGCTGCAATAATTTGTACATTCCTCTAATTTTGAAGCTGGAAAAAGATGAGCTCATTTCAATTACTTGATGTACTGCTAGGTCTTTTTACGTACAATAACACATCATACAAAGTACAACTTAATTTATATTTGAATAAATATTCTCAAGCTGTCAATACAATTACAATGACTCCAAGATGCATTGAAGTCAATGATAATGAGGTGCCTACTTTCACATTACATTCATAATATTTGAGTAAGATACTGAATGCAGGAGTATTGTTTTTAAATGTGATAATATTCCCACTAAAGTAAAACATCGAAATCCTTAATTCCACCACAGAGTCTAGGCATGTTTTGTCCTCCGCCCTCGTCGCTCCCCTGCTGCTTTGTTCGGCTGCAATAATCATCCTCCAACGCGAGATGTCCTCGAAGAGTCATAAAACAATTCAGAGGCAGATCAATCAGCAGCTCCGACCGAGGAGCATCATGGAGGAAACGGAACAAGGCTGGCTCAAGAAGACACAAGTGATACATTTTTGTCACCGTGAAACGGCACCCACCCGGCGGGACCAGGACCCCGGACGACGGTTAACGGCATTTTAGGAATCGTCGCCTCGTTGTTTCTCACGTTAACCGTCTTTCTCAGCGGCTGATAGCACGGATGGCGCTCTTTTACATTAGTAATAATGGCGGATATGAATTAGCCTAGCTCCCAGGATCTGACCCTATATATATAACTGGACAAAAACTACAGACACGGTCTTTCTCCAGGTATTCTCCGAGACCCTGAATTTAACACTCGATTTAACGGACGGATACTTTGATTTTCCACCATTTTTTCTCCTTACCCTGGTTCCCAGAAGTTCCCGGAATGTGCTGATGGACATTGGGTTTATAAGACATTCCCAAAGACATTGTAAATTAAAGAAATAAAAATGACCCGAAATTCAGTGAAGCGTCTGTCTCTCACTTTTTGTTTACAACAGCGGCACCGGCAAATATGGCCGTCACTTTATATTGACACCCACTATGCTTTCTTACACTGCTACTATCCATTGCGGGTTATCAAGAAAAACGGTTAAATTCTGATTTCGACGATAAAGCGACGGATTTCACCCGCCGTTTCACACACATTTAGCACATTTTACTCTACATCAGTCGGGAAGTCTACTTTAAAATACACTTTTAAAACACTTTATTACATTTAGGGATGTTTAAAAAGGTAACATGTTAAGTATGATTGTACTTTTTCCATCACATATTAAGTGTTCTTTTGGATTTTACACCAGATTTAGAGACAAACCCCAATGTTTAAAAGCAAGATAACTAACTTCGTGTATGTTTATTTGATTTAAGGTTACATTTAACATTTATGCAGATTAGTTAGGAGAGTAAACGCTTTTTGTTTTAGGCAAATATTAACACTTTTTCTCTGAAATGAGAAAACGAGCTTGTTTGGAGGTACCTGTCTTTGTCTGTGAGAGCGCATCCATTGTTTCGTAGAGTGAATCTGTAGAGCTTTTACATTAACAAAAATGAAAAGAAGAATTTAAGTTTATAAAGGATCCACTCATATTTTAAAGGAGTGTAGCTGTGTATCCTCTCCTCTTCCCACAGATGCCTCTGTAGTATGTCCCACCAGGCTCTTTTGACCACATGGTTGGACACACAAGCACAAGGTTTAGCCCAATCCTGGCCCACAGTCATGACCTCTGACCCCAGAGAAGCAGTGGGATGTCCCCTAACAAATGAATAGATAACAATGGGTGAGGAGTTGGTGCTTTCCTTTCTATTTATCATGTCATACTGAT